GAGGGGAGGGGGTATCAGATTACAGCACTTTGAGGGGAGGAGGTATCAGATTACAGCACTTTTGAGGGGAGGGATATCAGGTTACACACGTTTACAGTTGTAAAAGCGCAGTATCAGCACTTTTGCGATGTGTGTATCAGGTTACAAGAAATTGGAGGGGACAACATATTTTACAGCTTACGTCATCACTTTTTAGAATTTGCAGGCGCCATTTTGTATCGTCAGCACTCTTGACACCATTTTGCGTTGTTACAAAAATGATATCATCACTATTTTTAGCAGCAGTTGCGTCAGCATTTTTGACACCATTGTTGCCAAATTTCTTTATATTTTAATCAGCACTTTTAATAGTGCCGTGTGCAAAAGTCCATAGCAACAGGCAGCCACATCAACATTTTTTACACCATTGTTGTCAGATTTCCTTATATTTAATCAGCACTTTTAATAGCACCGTGTGCAAATGCCCATAGCAACAGGCAGCCACGTCAGCATTTTGGGCGCCATTGTTACCAGATTTCAATGTTTTGAATAACATTGTCAGCATTTTTTAATTAGTGTCATGTGCAACAAGCGGGTATAAAAAGCTCGCGAAAAATACAAATTATCACAGTTATCCGAAATCATTTGGACAATCACTACATCGCTACAACGCTTTATCTGAATTATAGCAACGATGTTTTCTACCGTACAACAGACAACTGTGAGTAATCTGGCCAACAAACAGCAAGGTGTGGAGACCTTTGCAAAGAAGCGGAAATACTCGCCCAACGTGTAAGTTGACTGTCTTACTATTTACACTTTGAAACTTACTGCTATTGTTACACTTTAAACTTACACAAGCTTTTATTTACAGAAATAAAAGTAATTCACCAAGTATCGATAGAAGCATGATCACATTTCCCAGAATTTTGGCTAGAAGATGCCCATTGACGAAAACCGGCTATAAATATTTGGATATCGGAATCAATGTTTCTACGCCGAGCCACATAGAAATCGCTCTCGATGACAACCATGGCAAAGAGATACATTTTACATACAACACGTGGAAGATCCTCCTGGACCAACGACACGCCATCCACCATTTCTTTAACAATGATGAAGACAAAGCACACGCATCATCTCAAACCATCGAACACGTCACGCTACGGTTTGGAAAGATAAATAATCTAAAAGTGCTGCGTCTGGAAACATCAACGGTGTGTTTAGCAATGTCACACAACACCGTATGTAACATGATCGCTCTCGAGTATTGTGTGGATCGTATCGCTCAATCGTTGAACAACGTCACTGGTATGGTCGACACCAAGTTTACACACTTTCGAAAAATCGCGAGCGGTGCGAAGGACCCCATCGCGGTGATACGTGAAAGCGAATCGTTCGATAAGAATGATATAATCGATTGTGAGCTGTTAGCTCAGGTCTTTGGATCGCAATAATTCTAGCATATCACATGCTTTATTGTTAAAATATTTTAACCATCATAATGTATTTATTAAATGCATCTGTTTAATAAATATTATTTCAATTATAAATTAAATTATTTTTTATTATCTCGACTATATACCTTTCTCACTCTATCCACTATGCTGACCTATCCTACTGTGAGATAAGCGAGCGAGTGAATCATATTACAATATCGTACACAGTACTCTACAAGTAATGTATTCTAATTGTACATAACATTAATAAATCGAAACAGGACTTGACTCAAGAAACTTTAATAATAAAAGTGTTGAAATTTGCAATATTTAATACTTAGAAGAATATTCTATCTCAATTCGCTGGGTCAACTCTTATTACACTGCTGAGAGAAGCAGTTCATGCAATATAAAGCAACAGATAAACCTTTCAAGAAACTTTTAGGAAGGGTGTTTGCCACAACGTTTGCTCCTTAGAGTTAGTCATTAAGCAGACATAGACCGTAGCACATTGATAACCGCAGTCGACCGCGAATTAGATGCGCAGCAGGTAAAGCGTTTCCGCTTTTGGGAGGATGGTATCCCTTTCCGGGTGGAGGAGTTGACGGAGGACAATTTGGCCCTATGGCGGGCTAGTGCGAAGAGGATCTCGCGACAAGAGCGAGTACGCGAATGGCTCAAACAAGTGCCGGATATCCAACCCGACAGCCCGCTAAGTCCATAGGAGACTCCACCACCAGTAAGTACTGTTTAATTTTTTATAAATTTTAAGCGGTACGCATGCGTTGTCATGTTTTTATCATCTATTTAATTAAATCATAAATTAATTCATTCAATAATTATCATCTAATTTTGTGTAACTCCATTCTATTTGTTACAGGGAACGCTGGTTATCCACCATTATATGGACGGCGAAATATTTTTTTTTTTTAATGCTTTTTGTTTTTCTACTAATTATATTTTATTCAAATTTATCAAATTTTGTAAATATGTAAATTATATTTTTTAATTATATTTTAAATTATATTTTAAATTATATTTTTTATTATCCCAACTCCTCGTATATTTTTCCTATGCCTTCGTTTTATCCACTACAGACCTATCTTACTGCGTGACAAAGGCGCGTGTCAAGTTACTGCTGAGATAGGAGAAGGAAAAGAAATGAGTGGACAATAAGAATGAAAATATTAAAAGTTTATAATATTAATAATAATTTATTCTTTTAACAATATATATTGTACGAAACTATAACTCGTTAGGTTATAATTCTTTTTCACAGACGCCACTCTTCTGTATCTGTGCTTTGCGTCCATGCGATCCTGGCCTTGTTAAAGGCCTTTATCTTATTAAATGCAATTTTTTTTTGTGATTTATAAGTTTATTGAAACGTGTTGATACAATGACTAATGATATAAAATAAAAAACTCGTGGTACTCAAATAAATTGTACTGTATCGTTCGCGACATTTTTTTAACTAGTGACGCACGCTCGCTTGCTTACGCGATACTCATTTGTTTCTTCGCTACAATAGACCGCGCCAAATTTAAACTTAATAATCTAAACATCCTGCCCCCTTGAACTGTGTAGTTCAACAGTTATGTTATAAGGTTTCATTCATAGGTAAACGCGCTACATTTTTTACCGCTCGCTTGTAACTTCCAGTTGTAGTTTTTATTTCTACAACTCTAACTATTCCATCTTGACCTGGATACAGTGCTGTGACTCGTCCTAAAGGCCAATATAATGGAGGAGTTTTATCCTCTCTTAATACAACCAAATCTCCTATCTGTAGATTATGTGATTTAGTTTTCCATTTTGTGCGCTGAGTTAATTCAGTCAAATATTCTTTATTCCATCGATTCCAGAAGTCACGTTTAATTTTGTGAATGTGTTGCCACTGAGATAATCGGTTACTTGGAATGTCTGTAAGATCAAATTCTGGAATTGATGAAAGTGATCCGCTAATCAAAAAATGGCTTGGAGTCAATGAATTCAGATCATCTGGATCTGATGACAACGAGGTAAGTGGCCGAGAATTCAATACTGCCTCGATTTCAATAATAAGAGTGTTAAATTCTTCAAACGTAAAAAGTGTATCCTTAGCTACACGGAATAAATGATACTTAAATGAACGTACAACTGCTTCCCAAATTCCTCCAAAATGAGGAGATCGAGGTGGTATAAACTTCCAAACCACTTCCTGTTCACTTAACCACTTGGTTAACGCATTCTTATGAGATTCGGTGTTTACAAAATCATATAGCTCATGTAATTTATTTTTTGCGCCAACAAAATTTGTAGCGTTATTAGATAGTATAATGTTTGATTTACCTCTTCTACTAAAAAATCTTTTAAGTGCTGCCAAAAATGCATCAGTAGTGAGATCACTAACTCCTTCTAAGTGTGTACTGCCTTTGAAGATAAACATATAAATACTGAAACATAAATTTTAATTTTGTTACGATTGCAATGTTTTTTCTCTTTTATCCAAAACGGACCACAATAATCAATACCTGTGTTTACGAAAGGTCGAGAACATTCGAACCTATACTTAGGAAGATTACCCATTAGATGTTTTAACATTTGTGGTTTTAACTTGAAACATGTCATGCATTCACGAATAATCTTTTTAATACGATTTTTTCCATTAATGGGCCAGAATTTCTGCCGAATGTAATATAAGGTTGCCTGTGGTCCGGCATGTAATTGTGAACAATGTGTATGCCTTATGATAAGATCAGTAATGTGATGTTTCTCCGATAGAATAATTTGATGCCGTTGTTCATAGCTTAAATTAGAATACCCAAGTCTACCTCCAACGCGTAATAAGCCAGAGGAATCAATTAATGGATACAGAGAAGTAAGTTTGCTATTTGCCTTGAGACTCTCTCCTTTCTCTAATTGGCTTATTTCGCTAGTAAAGGCTTCGACTTGTACAAGTTTTACAATAACAGACATTGCTCGATTTAATTCAGAACCACTCAACATTCCCTGGATCCTGTGCTCTACCCGACAATTGTCGATAAATCTAAGACACCATGCCACCACCCTGCAAAGCACTACTATGGATGAAAATTGTTGTAGAATGTCACAACTCCTTTCTATCTTCAAGTTAATTGTTGCTTGTTGTTCCGGAATCTCCGCTAATGTAGGAGTAAAGCTTGGCCAGGTATGTTCGTCTTCCAATAACCAAGGAAGTCCGTGAATCCAGATACTATTAACAAGGTTGGAAGGAAGAATTCCTCTTGAAACTAAATCAGCAGGATTATCCTGTGATGATACATGTCTCCAATTAAAAGTCGCTGTTGTCTCTTGAATGGCAGCTACGCGATTTGTTACAAAGGTTTTTAGGCGATGTAACTGAGTGCGAATCCAATGCAGCGTAATAGTCGAATCTGACCACAGCACTACCTTACTAAATGTCGTGTTGAATGCTTCCAGCACTGTCTGACAAAGTTGCGATAGGAGTACGGCTGCGCATAGCTCCAATCTTGGTATTGAAAGTTTTTTAAGTGGAGCCACTTTTGATTTAGAACACAGCAACAGTACCTGATATGAACCGGCTAAATTTGATGATCTTACATACATACAAGCTCCGTATGCAGCTTCGCTAGCATCAGCAAATCCATGCAGTTGCAAGTCCACTGATTGCGCCATACAAACATGTCTGGGAAATAATATGTTGTTTATTTCCGACAGGCTATCTCGTAGAGTTTTCCAGGCTGTGTGAATTTCCATCGGAACAGATTCATCCCATGATAACTGTAGTTTCCAGAGTCCTTGAAGTAGTATTTTAGCTTTTACGATGACTGGACCCAACAGACCGAGTGGTCCTGTTGGGACCGGGTCGTACAGAGATGCTACTTGTGACAAGATTAATCGTTTTGTTAACTTGGTTGATTCTTGACGCATTGCTACTCGATACAAAAAACAATCTTGTTTAGGATTCCAAAGAATTCCTAAAGTCTTGTGTGTCCCAGAAAATTCTAAACACCAATGCTCATTTTGATGTTCAGTTGTCATAGACTCAATGAATTGAGAATGATTGGAAGCCCATTTCCTGAGATCAAAACCTCCGCTACTTAATAATCTTGTGATTTGAGTCTTCAAGGCTATCGCTTGCTCTATTGTTTCTGTTCCAGATAGAAGATCATCAACATATAGATCTCTTGTAATGATTTCAGCGGCTTCTGTATAATTCCGCCTTTCATCTTCACTTAATTGAATCAAGGTTCTTGTAGCTAAATATGGTGCTGGCGACATTCCGTATGTTACAGTGTTGAGCTCGTAAATACGTACTGCTTCTTCTGGGTTATTTCTCCACAGAATTCTCTGAAATGGCCGATCCTTGGGATGTATGAATATCTGTCTGTACATTTTTTGAATATCTGCTGTGAAGACTATGTTATGCAAGCAAAATCTTATAATAATGGCGAGAATATTTTGTTGCACCACTGGACCTTTAAGCAATGTGTCGTTTAGTGAGATACCGCTCGATGTTTTCGCTGATGCGTCGAAAACTACTCTTAATTTTGTCGTCATGCTTGACTCCTTAATAACTGAATGGTGAGGAAGAAAACATCCTTCCTGCATGTTTGATTGCTTCAATTCCGTCATCTGTCCTAGTGATTCATAATCCTGCAGAAATTTACGATAATCTTCATACAATCTGAGATTTGCGCTTAGTCTTCGTTCCAAGCCTTGTAGTCGTTTTAAAGCTATTCCGTATGATTCGCCTAATTTTCCCTTTTGTTCATTAAATGGCAATCCTATTGAGTATCGTCCTGACGGAAGCCTCTTTACTGTCCGTTTGTAATGCTGTTCGCATTGTTTCTCCTCAGGCGACAAATTCTTTCTTGCTGGTATTTCTTCTGTCTCCCAGAACTTCTGTACAGCGTCATCAAGAGTGCTTCGAGAGAAATGGCATAAATCAACGGAGACAGGATCCAAGGAACCAGTTTTTCCAGATATAATCCAACCGAATTTAGTTTTTTGCATAACAATTGCTCCTGACCTTAACTTAACTTGACCAATACATAGCAAATGATAAAAGTATTCTGCTCCGATGAGCATATCGATCTGCGCAGGTTGATCGAATCTTGAATCTACTAATCGCAGATTAGCTGGAATATCAAGAGCCTTACGATTAATATTTCTTGAAGGTAGAACATCTGTTAACTTAGAAATAACTAAACAATTAAGCTTAAGTGTGAATGCACTACTTCTGGACTTGATGGTTGCCTTTGTTGACCATTTAACATGTGATAGTGTTTCTCCAATTCCCTTAATGGGAATATCTACTACATTTTTAGGTAACTTTAGCCTATCGCAAAGCCGTTCAGATATGAAGTTAGACTGTGATCCTGCATCTAAAATTACTCTGCATGGTTGATATTGAGCTGAAGCATCAGCAATATCCACCATGGCTGTAGACAAAATTATTTGTGAAGTATCATCTAATCGTGAACTCAGAGTCTGACTAGCGGTCTTTGAACCTTGAATTTTACCTTGTTCTTTCTGTTCAGTATTCTCTTCAATTCCTTGAGAAACATCGCTCGAATTGTTTGGATGTAGCATTGTATGATGCCTACGATCACACTTTCTGCAACTACTTGCTTTACATGCTGTAACCTTGTGATTTGCTCTGAAACAATTGAAACACAAACCTGCCTTTTTTATTGATTCTGATCGCTCAACATGACTCATAGCCTTAAACTTCTCACAATTCTGAATATTGTGGTTCTCTCCACAAACGTGACACTTGACCTTATGTTGTGATTCAAACAGAATTTGCCGTGTTTTGCTGGATGCTACCTTATTAGAATTTGATTGTTTCTGATTTGTTGTATTTGATACGTCCTTAGGAACTGCCTCTAATATATGACATCTATTACGCAAAAATTTCAGATATTGTTCTAAAGTGGGCATGTTAGTTCTATCCAATGATTTTTCCCATTCCATTTGAGTTCTTTTATCAACCTTTGAACCAATCAAGTGCAGAAGCAATGCATCCCAACCGTCGACCGGTTGCTCTAGAACTTGTAATGAGTGTATGTGTTTAAGCGCAGTGTCGATTAAGGTGCTCAAACCCAGTGCAGAATCCTTTGATACAGCCTGTAATTCAAATAATGCTCTAACGTGATTCTGAATAATAATGCGTTTATTGCTATATCTTTTCTTTAACAAACTCCACGCGATTTCATAGTTTTCTGCCGTTGAACTTAATGACTGTACTATTTGAGCAGCATTTCCTACCAAACAAGACTTTAAATAGTTAAATTTCTGTACCGTTTGAATTTTCACATTATTGTGAACTAAAGCCTTAAATGAATCCTCAAAACTTAACCATTCTTCATATTTCCCATCAAATTTTGGCAAAGTTATAGTAGGAAGCTTGACACTATTATCATTTGACGTTAAGTTTGATAATTGAGATAGTACTGCTTGAATATCTGCATTAGCCGACGCACTATCAGTCGACACCGCACTGTTTCTTCCTGAATCTAAGTATTCTTGTGCTTTTGCTACGTGCTCATAGTAATTGTTCTCAAACAATTGTCTAGACTCCTCGTCGTTGATATTTTCAGCTAATTCTATCGCCATATGAACATTTTCAAACTCTGAGAGTAAGGAGTTCGCCTTTTCAAAACGAATTCTCAGTATACTGTAATCGCGTTCCGGTATGTAATTATCCAAAAAACTCTTGAATCTCGTTAACGATGCCTTCAACAAACCACGGCGCTTCTTTAATCTAAGCAATTCGTTTTCGGCCATCGTGTATATTCTTTTAAACTATCCTTGACTGATAATTTAACCTTACTAAAATAAATACTAACCTCTATTGTCACTAAATGTATTACTTACTCTACAACTGGAAATTTCTTACGCTATTATAGATAATGTTTATCCGTAGTATAGACAAGTCTCGTTCTGACTCGTTTTTCCTTATTGTCTTGCTTTGTCTTGCCCACAGCCTTCTCAATAGTAGCCGCCTTCTCGATGTCTCTCGTCTTACAGTAATACTTGCATCCGCTTCCCTTTCAGGAATTGATTATATGCCTTTTGCTTGCAGGCATCCGGCTCGAAGGACCAAAATTATGTACGAAACTATAACTCGTTAGGTTATAATTCTTTTTCACAGACGCCACTCTTCTGTATCTGTGCTTTGCGTCCATGCGATCCTGGCCTTGTTAAAGGCCTTTATCTTATTAAATGCAATTTTTTTTGTGATTTATAAGTTTATTGAAACGTGTTGATACAATGACTAATGATATAAAATAAAAAACTCGTGGTACTCAAATAAATTATACTGTATCGTTCGCGACGTTTTCTAACTAGTGACGCACGCTCGCTCGCTTACGCGACACTCATTTGTTTTTTCGCTACAATAGACCGCGCCAAATTTAAACTTAATAATCTAAACATATACAGAGTGTCCCATTATAAAACATCCACGCAAATTACTCCGAAGATAAGGATGATAGCAAAAAATTACCTTAACAAACGTTGTAGGATTAAAAGGGGGCCAACTGAAGGTGACCTTGACTTTGACCTCGCAGTTGATTTTCAAGGTTATTTGAAGGTCAGAGTAATTTTTTAAAATGAAAACCCCTATTTTTGATTCCAAAATCTAATAGCTGGTGTCAAGAGCTTTTCAAAACACTATAATGAAGTTATTTTTTATTAAGTACTTTTCGAGTTATGAGGCTTGTAAATTACAGTATTTTGACATAAAATACAAAATATCTTGTAAAACATTCAATTTTTGGGAATCTTACCTTAATACTTTTATGCATAAAATAATGAGACAAATCAATTGGTATAAAGAAAACACATTGGTTTTAAA